CCCCCCCCCCCCCCCCCCCCCCCAAGCCCACCTCACCAGAGTCTGCACCTTCAGGTACACAGGCAGGTCAACTGGGAGTGTCATCACAAAGGTCAGTGTGTGGTCCATCAGAGAGACTGGGCTGCAGTAATGTTACTATCTGTCTCAACAGCTCAGTGGAATCTGGCCAAGGTTTACCAGAAACTGAGAATAGAGAGGGAGGTCAATATTTCAACCGCCAGGAATCAGTGACCCTTTCTGTCTCTCTCAATTAATGCAGTCTTCACATCCAGTCCTGAAGAGTTCAGAGAGCTGAACACAGTGCACATTCCCTATGTGTTACGGTATACTGCATAACAGCCCAGTGGGAGACTGACCCTCAGACTAAATTCACACTTACTCCTCTCAGCAGCACAGTCTGGGCGCTGATCGGGCACATGAACACCAGCTCTGTTTTGTTTTGCTTCCTGCAGATTCCACATCCTTTACCCCCTGAGACCTCGCATCTACTGCTCTGGTCTGTCTTTCTGTCTGAACCGTTCTGAGTTCAGTTGTGCATTACCTTCCTTCTCTTGAACACTGAGGGTCAGTGCTGAGGGAGCGGGTACTGTCGGAGGGTCAGTGCTGAGGGAGCGGGTACTGTCGGGGGGTCAGTGCTGAGGGAGCGCCGCACTGTCGGAGGGTCAGTGCTGAGGGAGCAGGCACTGTCGGAGGGTCAGTGCTGAGGGAGCGGTCAGCGCTGAGGGAGCGGGCACTGTCGGAGGGTCAGCGGTGAGGGAGCGCCGTGCTGTCGGAGGGTCAGCGGTGAGGGAGCGCCGTGCTGTCGGAGGGTCAGCGCTGAGGGAGCGCCGTGCTGTCGGAGGGTCAGATGAGATATGAGGAGGTGAAGATCTTACGAGACTAGATAACAATCACTGGACCATTAATGCAGAAACACAGCTAATGTTCTAGAGACCTGGGTTTCAATCCCCCCACAGCAGATGGTGGAATTTGAATTCAATAAAAATCTCGAGCTAAGAGTCTAATGATAACCACGAATCCATTGTCATTTGTTGGGAAAAACCCATCTGATTCACTAATGTCCTTTAGGGAAGGAAACTGCCATCCTCACCTGGTCTGGCCTATGTGTGACTCCAGACCCACAGCAATGTGGTTGACTCTCAACTGCTCTCTGAAATGTCCTAGCAAGCCATTCAGTTGTACCAATGCTTATAAAGATTCAAAGAAATGAAACCGGATGGATCAGCTGGCATCGACAGTAGGCACCGGAAAAGACAACGGCAGAAACAGCGCTGTTGAGCCTGCAAAGTCGTCCTGACATCTGGGGGTTAGTGCCAACACTGGGAGAGCTGTCTCACAGATTAGTCAAGCAACAACCTGACACAGTCATACATAGAATCGTACCTTACATACAATGTCCCAGACACCACCATCACCATCCCTGGATATGTCCTGTCTCACGGACAGGACAGACCCAGCAGAGGGGGGTGACACAGTGGGATACAGTCAGGAGTGAGTTGTTCTGGGAGTCCTCAACATTGACTCCGGACCCCATGAAGTCTCATGGCTTCAGGTTAAACATGAGCAAGGAAACCTCCTGCTGAACCACATACCGTCCTCCCTCAGCTGATTAATCAGTCTCTCCTCAATGTTCAATGTGGTCGGGTCCTAAAGGACATAGTTGCTAGATTGGGTCTGCGGCAGGTGGTGAGGGAGAAATATACTTGAACACGTCCTTACCAATCTGCCAGCTGCGGATGCATCTGTCCATGACAGTATCGGTAAGAGTGACCATCGCACAGTCCTTGTGGAAACCAAGTCCCACCTTCACATTGAGAATACCCTCCATTGTGTTGTGGGCACTATCAAAGTGCTAAATGGGACAGACTTCGCACTGATCTAGCAACTCAAGACTGGGCATCCATGAGGCGCTGTGGGCCATTAACAGCAGCAGAATTGTACTCCAGCACAATCTGTAACCTCATGGCCCGGTATATCCACCACTCAACCATTACCATCAAACCAGGGGATCAACCCTGGTTCAATGGAGAGTGCAGGAGGGTATGCCAGGAGCAGCACCAGGCATGCCTGAAAATGAGGTGTCAACCTGGTGAAACCAACAAACAGGATTACTTGCACACCAAACAGCGAAAGCAGCAAGTGATAGACAGAGCTAAGTGATTCCCACAACCAAAGGATCAGATCTAAGCTCTGCAGTCCTGCCACATCCAGTTGTGAATGGTTGTGGACAATTCAACAACTCACTGGAGGAAGAGGCTCCACAAATATCCCCATCCTCAATGACGGAAGAGCCCAGCACATCAGCGCCAAAGATAAGGCTGAAGCTTTTGTAGTAATCTTCAACCAGAATTGCCGAGTAGATGATCCATCTCGGCCTCCTCCCCAGCATTACAGATACCAGTCTTCAGCCAATTCAATTCACTCCACATGATATCAAGAAATGGGTGGAGACACTGGATATGGGCCCTGACAACATTCCGGCAATAGTACAGAAGACTTGTCCTCCAGAGCTTGTCGCTCCCCGAGCCAAGCTGTCCCAGTACAGTTACAACACTGGTACCTACCCGACAATGTGGAAAATTGCCCAGGAATATCCTGTACACAAAAAGCAGGACAAATCCAACACGGCCAATCATCACCTCATCAGTCTCCTCTCGATCATCAGTAAAGTGATGGACGGTGTCAGTAACAGTGCTATCAAGCAGCACCTGCTCAGTGACGCCCAGTTTGGGTTCTGCCAGGGCCACTCAGCTCCTGACCTCATTACAGCCTTGGTTCAAACACAGACAAAAGAATTCCAGAGGTGAGGTGAGAGTGACAGCCCTTGACATCAGGGATGCATTCGACCAAGTGTGGCATCAAGGAGCCCTGGCAAAACTGGAATCAATGGGTATCAGGGGGCAAACGCTCTGGTGGTTGGAGTCATACCTGACACATAGGAAGATGGTTGTGGTTGTGGGAGGTCAGTCATCTCAGCTCCAGGACATCTCTGCGGGAGTTCCTCAGGTTAGTGTCCTCGGTCCAACCATCTTCAGCAGCTTCATCAATGACCTTCCCTCCATCATAAGGTCAGAGGTGGGATGTTCACCGATGATTGCACAATGTTCAGCACCATTCGTGACTCCTCCATATTCAAATGCAGCAAGACCCAAACAATATCCAGGTCTGGGCTACCAAGTGGCAAGTAACAATCGCGCCACACAAATGCCAGTCAATTATCATTCTCAATCTAACCATGGTCTTTGACATTCAATGGTGTTCCCATCACTGCATCCTCCACTATCAACATCCTGGGGGTTACCATTGACCAGAAACTCAACTGGACCAGCCCATATAAACACTACAAGAACAAGTTAGAGACTGGGAATCCTGCAGCGAGTAACTCCCCTCCTGACTCCCCCCAAAGCCTGTCCCACCATCTACAAGGCACAAGGCAGGAGTGGGATGGAATACTCCCCACTTGTCCTTCTAATTGGTAGTGGTTGTGGATTTGGAAAATACTCTCTAAGGAGCTTTGGTGAATTTCTGCAGTGCATCTTGTAGATAGCACACACACTGCTGGTGGATACATCGGCAAGTTCCCCTCCGAGCCCCTCACCTTCCCAACTTGGAAATATATCGCCGTTCCTTCACTGTCGCTGCTTCAGAATCCTGGAATTCCCTCCCTAAGGGACACTGTGGGTCAACCCACAGCACATGGACTGCAGCGGTTCAAGAAGGCAGCTCACCCCTACCTTCTCAAGGGGCAACTAGGAACGGGGCAATAAATACTGGGCCCAGTCATCAATGGCGATATCCCACCAGGGAATCAAAAAACCCTGAGATCCCATCTGCCCTCTCGGGGGGTGTAAAAGATGCCACAGTCACCATTGGAAGAAGAGTTAGTGGGGTGGTACTCCCCAGGTCCTGGGGCCAATATTTATCCCTCAACTGACTTCACTAAAAACAGATGAACCGGGTCATTCCCACATTGTTGTGTGTGGGATCTTGCTGTGTGACAATTGAGCAGCTGCTTTTCCCACATTACAGCCAGGGGCATAGTCCCAAAAGCAAGTATCCTTCATTGGGTGTGAAGTTTCAGGACAAGCCGGGAAAGGGGCTGGGAAAATGGGAGTGTATCTTGCAAATAGAGTCATAGAGTTGTACAGCACGGAAACAGATCCTTCAGTCGGACTTGTCCACAACAACCACATATCCTAAACCAATCCAGTCCCATTTGCCAGCTTTTGGCCCATATCCCTCTAAACCCTGCCTATCCATGTACTAATCCAGATGTCTTTTAAATGTTGTAATTGTACCAGCCTCCACCACTTCCTCTGGCAGCTTATTCCATACACACACCACCCTCTGTGTGAAAAAGTTGCCCCTCAGGTCCCTTTTAAATCTTTCCCCTCTCACCTTAAACCTGTGTCCCTCGAATTTTGGACTCCCCTACCCTGGGGTAAAAGACCTTGTCTATTCACTCTATCCATGCCCCTCATAATTTTATAAACCTCTATAAGGTCACCCCTCAGCCTCCGACTCTCCAGGGAAAATAGCGCCAGCCTATTCAGCCTCTCCCTATAGCTCAAACCCTCCAACCCTGGCAACATCCCGGTGAATCTTTTCTGAACCATTTCAAGTTTCACAACATCCTTCCTATAGCAAGGAAAATGAGAGAAAAGTCATGGAATGAAGATTTGAAATGTACTCTTTAATATAAATATTTGTGCGTTACATTAAGTTCTACAAGACTTTAATAACGTACACACAAAAACACAGTTTCACAATGTACGTCTCTTGAGGTTATATAAAAAATGCTTGCATTTGTTAATAAATCTCCATTAATCTATGTACAAACATAGAAATATCTCTGTGAGGAAATACAAGAACTTAAACAGGATTCAATCCTTATACTTAATTGTAGAGAGTTCTACATTAGCTCTGATGACACGTGAATAATACATTCAGAATGTGTCATTTGTACAGTAATCATATCGAGAAAAGTAATAATATCTGTTTCTTTCTTACGATTTGGTTAGTCACTACAAGTGATACAGTTACATCTGTAAGTATGTCTTACAATATCCTCTTCCATAGCAACACAGGTCTACTTCAAGTTTAAATCATTATACTGACAGCTTGTGCCCCAGACGTGATTGAAGTGCAGTCATGTTACAAAAAGGAAGGTTTTTCTTCAAAATACAATTAAACACCCCCCCCTCCCCAAACCCCATGCAGTGCGTTGTAAGGAGAGAATTAAGAGCTTTTTAACAAGTGTCCTTAGTTTCAAAGTGATATCTTTGATTGTCGTTGCTTCACAAAATATGACAATATGCCATACTTGATGAAGTAAGTCATAGACTTATTTCAGAATGAAGATTCACTTCCATTTCCATCTGTGAGAGAGAGAGAGAAAAAAAAAGAAATAGAAATGGTTAGGCCTATAACAATTCTGTCCCATTGTCCATTTAGTAACACTTTAGGCTGTATTTATGAGCTATTACCGCCCCGTCTGGTAGCAGCGTGTAATTACAATGTGACGTGTTTACATTGCCATTTCCCCATTTATTTAAATAGTCACAAAAACAGAAATTGCTGGAAAAGCTCAGCAGGTCTGGCAGCATCTGTGTAGAGAAATCAGAGTTAACGTTTTGGGTTCTTCCTTCAGATCCTTCCTCCGGCTCATGAGGAAGGGCCACTTAAGGCAACATGGTGTGGACTTAGATGAACACAGCAGGCCAAGCAGTATCAGAGGAGCAGGAAGGCTGACGTTTTGGGCCTAGACCCTTCTTCAGAAATGGGGGAGGGGAAGGGGATTCTGAAATAAATAGGGAGAGAGGGGGAGGCAGATAGAAGATGGATAGAGGAGAAGATAGGTGGAGAGGAGACAGACAGGTCAAAGAGGCGGGGATGGAGCCAGTAAAGGTGAGTGTAGGTGGGGAGGTAGGGAAGGGATAGGTCGGTCCAGGGAGGACGGACAGGTCAAGGGGCAGGATGAGGTTAGTAGGTAGGAGATGGGGATGCGGCTTGAGGTGGGAGGAGGGGATAGGTGGGAGGAAGGACAGGTTAAGGAGGCAGGGACAAGCTGGGCTGGTTTTGGGATGCGGTCGGGGGAGGGGAGATTTTGAAACTTGTGAAATCCACATTGATACCATTGGGCTGCAGGGTTCCCAAGCGGAATATGAGTTGCTGTTCCTGCAAGCTTTGGGTGGCATCGTTGTGGCACTGCAGGATGCCCAGGATGGACATGTCGTCTGAGGAATGGGAGGGGGAGTTGAAATGGTTTGCGACTGGGAGGTGCAGTTGTTCAGTGCGAACCGAGCGTAGGTGTTCTGCAAAGCAGTCCCCAAGCCTCCGCTTGGTTTCCCCGATGTAGAAGGGTCTAGGCCAGAAACGTCAGCCTTCCTGCTCCTCTGATGCTGCTTGGCCTGCTGTGGTTCATCCAGCTCTACACCTTGTTATCTCAGATTCTCCAGTATCTGCAGTTCCTACTATCTCCGGCCACTTAAGGCATTTGGATGGGTAAATGAATAGGAAGGGTTTAGAGGGATATGAGCCAAATGGGACTAGATTTATTTAGGATATCTGGTCGGCCTGGACGAGTTGGACTGTAGGGTCTGTTCCCATGCTGTACATCTCCATGACTCAATGACCTGAAACATTAATTCTGATTTTTTTCTTCACCGACGCTGCCAGACCTGCTGAGCTTTTCCAGCAACTTCTGTTTTTGTTCCTGATTTACAACATCCGCAGTTCTTTTGGTTTCTATTTAAACAGTCTCCAAACCTTTACAATGTTTAGCGGGGGCGGGGGCGGAGGTGGAGTGGATCAGGGCAGGAGTAAGTTTGTTTTTTAAGATAAAACAGGAAGAGTTTACAACAAGTGTCTCGGTAAAATATTCTACTGTTTTTAACTGCCACACTGAAATTTAAATAATAAAGCTTAGAATTTTCTCTCTTGGAGAGGAGAGACGAAGTTGGGGGGTGGGGAGGGGGAGGAGCTGTGGCAGCTGCTAACTTAATCAACAGCCTGTCTGAATAGTTTTTCTTTTTTATTCACAGGATGAGGGTGTCGCTGACCAGGCAGCATTTATTGCCCATCCCTAATTGCCCAGAGGGCATTTAAGAGTCAACCACATTGCTGTGGGTCTGGAGTCACATGGAGGTCCAGGCCAGGTAAGGCTGGCAGTTTCCTTCCCTAAAAGATATTAGTGACCCAGATGGGTTTTTCCAACAATCAAGCCATGGTCATCATTAGACTGTTAATTCCAGATATTTTATTGAATTCAAATTCCACCTTCTGCCATGGCAGGATTCAAACCCGTATCCCCGGAACATTATCTGGGTCTCTGCACCTCACAGCCCAGCGATAATACCACTAGGCCATCACCTCCCCTAGAGGGAGTAAAGGGAGGTGCTTCCTTTGGACAGGGTGCAAGCATGGCCCACTCCCCTCCCCACATTCCATCCCAAACAGATCCATTCCATTCTCTTTGGGACATTGGCCTGTCACATTGGAGTTATACCTCCCTTGGCGGGAACACAGAGTCACCCATGGATACTGAGGGGGTGGGTAGAGGGAATTGTAGTACAGTAGATTCAGAAGCCAGGCATTACAAGGCTGAGCTGGGCAGGTCGGGGGTCTATTGGGTTTGGGGTTAAGGGGCAGAATGGCCTCTACCCAGCTCTGGGATTGACCGGTTTAGGAGCAGATTATTAACAAGGGCAATGAGAAACTTGGCTTACCTTGGTGGAAGTACTCGTGGGGATGACTTTGGAGTTGATACAACTCATCGATAAACCCATCACAGGGGGACCTTGAGACAAGCGTCTCAAATACATTTTCATATGAAGTCAACTCTTCAAGGAAGGTTTGTTCTTCTGCAGACAGGTCGGTGGCAGAGCGAGAGTCTGGATTGCAGTCCGATACGGCTTGGCCGTTTCCCACCGTGGTGGGAGATGGGCATATCCCCCTCCCCACTTGCCGGGGGCTAGGGGCTGGAGTGCCTCCCACCATCGAGGAAGCGCTCAGGTCTTTCAGAATGTTCTCAATGACATCTTCATCCTCGCAGCTTTCCTGGCCAAAGCTGATGGCAGAGAAGTCTATGCTCCTCCACAGCTTGGGGGTTTGTGGGTCGGGGCTGGCGTTCTCTGAGGGGCTCTGGGTCTGGCATGTCTCACCAACAGCTGGATCCTGTTGCTGGGCCGTCCCGAGGGGTACTGTGCCTGGTTGGCTCTCCTGCCCGGCCAGTTGGCAGCCCAGCTGTTTGACCAGGGCTTCGATGTCAATCCGTGAGGTGCCCTCCGCAAAGTAGCCAAAATAGCGGCTGGCTGGCAACTTGATGGGCGAGGCCTCGGGGGTGAGGATCCCCTCGGGGGTACTGGGCACGTGGATGTAGAGGGGGGCGGGTAGCTGGGGCAGCCCCATCACGGTGCAGCCCCCGTGGCCTGGGCTGTCGGGGGAAGGGGGCAGCCGCTCGTACAGCGAGGCGCAGGGCTCGAGGGGATAGTAGAGCTCGCTGGCGGCACTCGGGCCGAATGGCTCCTGCCCCCCGAAGGCGAAGGCGGCTCCCAGCAGCTGGGGGGTGCAGGGGGGAGTGGGCGAGTGGGAGGCGAACGTACAGTCACTGTAGGACAGCTCGGGGAGTTTGCTGGCCCTGTCCGTGCCCCGGGGACCCGTCTCCTTCTTCTCCTGAGGCAGCGCGGGGAGAAGCCCCCCACGGCGGAATAGCTCGGCATCCTCCTCCCCTCCTGCCTGCCCGGGCACCTCGGCAAAGTCCAGGCCACAGATCCCACTGAAGTCGAAGGACTGGGCAGAGACCCCAGAAGTTGGAGTGCTGGCCATTGGAGTAAAGACAGTGTCCGGGCTGGACATGTAGTTGGGAGACTGAGTGGTCTCTTGGTGAGATAAATGGGCTGATACAGAGCATGGAAACAGGAGGCTTTCCTCTTGCTCATCAGTGAGCTGCTGGCGAAGGCACCACGCTTCCGATTCACTGGGAACAAAAAGGATAAACCTCCATTAAAATAGAAACCAACATTTAACCCCAACAGCTAAACTAACTAACAACCGCCCACCGAGAATTCAGCGTATGCTTTGTTAGGGTCAAAATATCGAATGTTTTCAAAAAGGGAGTTTTTCTCTCATTTCATTTATTCAGGCCAGCATTTACTGCCCAGACCTAATTGGCTGTTAAGAGCCACCCACGTTGCTGTGAGTCTGGAGTCACATATAGGCCAGACCAGATAAGGATGGCAGGTTTCCCTCCCTAAAGGACGAGAATGACCAGAGGGGAGTTTTTTTTTAACCCCCAACAATTGTTTCACGTTCGTCGTTATTTCCGGATTTTTTTTTTTTAATATCGTTGATTTCAGATTCCACCTTTACCTGTGGTGGGATTCGAACCGGAGTCCCCAGAACATTCCCCGGGGGTCTCTGAATGAGTAGTTCAGTGACCACACCTCCCCCTTAATTCTAGTTCTTGGCAAAGGGTGTGGGGAGAAAGCAGGAACAGAGTTGGTAATGATCAGCCACAATCCTATTGACTGAGTAAGCATGCTCAAAGGGCCAAATGGCCTACTCCTGCTCTGTGTTTCTAATCAGAGGGATCTTTCACAGAGCTGGCACGGGAGTAAGGGCTGAATGGCCACTGATGAGGTTTATAGTTGAGTTCCAGTCCTCACCTGACAGTGTAGTTACAGCAAAGAACTGGCACCTCAGCACATTCCACTTGAACCACAATGTAGACCCAGATCCACTGGCCATCCTTAGACTGAAGCCTGACAATCATCTCCACTCTAGCTTCATTTCCTCCACTCACTACAAACCAGAACACAAAAACACAGAGAGAACCCATTAAAACACACGTTCGGGCAGTGACGAGAGAATAAACAAACAGCAACTCAAGCAGAAGAGATGTCAAACTTCACCCTCTCCCCATACTTACAAAAGCGGTAGTGCTGAGCAGAGGCATGGGAGAGATCATGAGGATGCAGGAGATTATACCAGGATGTGCCAATGAGCTCAGTCTTCTGGTAACCCAGGTAGTAACCAACACTGTGAGAGAAAGGACATGACCAGAATATTAGTTACAGTAACTGCGCAAGAAACACAGAAGTTTGTACAAGTGTCCAAAGACTGCCCAAACTAACACTGTGATGGTGTGTGTGAGTGTGATGTGTGTGTGAATGTGTGTGCATGAGTGTGAGAGTGTAAATGTGTGTGAGAGTGTGTGTATCTCTGTGTGTGAATGAGTGTGAGTGTGAGTGAGTGTTTGAATGAGTGTGAGTGAGTGAATGAATGGGAGAGTGTGAGTGTGTGAGAATGGGAGTGAGTGTGAGAGTGTGAGTGAGAGTGAGTGTGTGTATCTGTGCGTGAATGTGAGAGTGTGAATGAGTGTGAGTGAGTGTGAGTGAATGGGAGAGTGTGTATGAGAATAGGAATGAGTGTGAAAGAGTTTGTACCCGTGTGTCTGAATGAGTGTGAGTGGGTGTGAGTGAATGAGAAAGTGTGAGTGTGTGAGAATGGGAGTGAGTGTGAGAGTGTGTGTATCTGTATGTGTGAATGAGTATGAGTGAGTGAGTAAATGAGAGAGTATGTGTGTATGTGTGTGAATGTGAGAGTGTGAATGAGTTTGAGTCAGTGAGTAAATGAGAGAATGTGAGTGTGAGAGAGTGGGAGTGAGTATGTAAGAGAGTGTGTGTGTCTGTGTGTGAGTGAATAGGAGAGTGTGAGTGTGTGAGAGTGGGGGTGAGTGTGTAAGAGAGTGTGTGTGTGAGTGTGAGTGAATGGGAGAGAGTGAGTGTGTGAGAGTGGGAGTGAGTGTGTAAGAGAGTGTGTGAGTAAATGGGAGAGTGTGTGTGTGAGAGTGGGGGTGTGTGTGTAAGAAAGTGTGTGTATTTATGTGTGTGTGTGTGAGTGAATGGGAGAGAGTGAGTGTGTCAGAGTGAGGGTGAGTGTG